AGTTTCGGTATACCTTCATGAAGGTCCTGGTCCCTCTGGAGCTTTCCCAGAGCTGCCATCGGATCCCAGAGTGCACACATTAGGGGTGGGTATGACCAGTGTCACCTTGAACTGGGCTCCGAGCTCATCTGTAGTTGTTAAAGATGATCACCGACCACATCACGAATACTGCGTCTTAGTAAACCACAAACACAACTATCGAAGTCTATGCGCTGCTCGTGAGGGAATCCGAAAGGAGATACAGAGTGTGCAGAAGAGACAGAGGAGAGATAAACAAAGCAAAGAGATTGTATGGGCAACACTTAAAGACTGGTGGTGGAGGCAGCCGGATACCATCAAGAATCGTGAATCATCTGACAAATTTGAGGACCCTGGATGTGTTTGCAGGGATGTTGAAAGTGTGTGCACGGTTTCTGACCTGCTTCCGGATACACAGTACTATTTCGATGTGTTTGTAGTTGACAGGGTTAATGGCACAAGTGCAGCCTACACTGGCACATTTGCCCGGACACATGAGGAGGCTCGTCCTGCTGTCACAACCTTAAGGGAAAACCAGGTCAAATGGGTTACTATAAGTGGGGACGCAAGCAGCCTACAGGTAGACCAGTTCCGATTCAAACCTCGCGGATGGCAACAAAACGGCCTGCTGACCTTGCACACCTGCAATGGGACTAGTAAAGTTAGAGCCACAGTCTCTGGTAAAGGACAGATTTTGACATCTCAAGAGGTGGGACACCAGCTGGCCCAGATATGGTTGCATGGTGCCTCGTCTTATCTCATCCAGCTCCAGGCCTTGGCTCCAGGTCCCTCATTAACAATCCCTAAAGGTGATTCAGGCAAGTCCAAATTCTGTCTCAAAATGCAGGCATCATCAGCGTACCACCGCCGTGCAGTGCCTGTGTTTCCCACTACATTACAGATTAAGTCTTTCAACAAGTTGCGGACCTGCAATTCAGTCACTCTAGCCTGGATGGGAACCGAAGAACGGAGTCTCTACTGTGTTTACCGAAGACAGATCCCACTTAACAGCAAACACACATCAACGGATCGCTGCATCGACCCAGAGTCTCGTCCTGCAAATGAAAGAGTCCTCTGTAAGTATTTCCAAGAGTTGAATCCACGTCGGGCAGTCACAACAGCAGTGATCGGTGAACTGGAACCAGGGTTGCTATACGTGTTTGACGTCTACCTTATGAGACGCTGGGGACTTCCAATTAAGTACCACAGCAAGACGGTGAGAACCAGAAATGAATGTTGAGTGGACAGTCTTGCTCTCAGTGGAGGACTCATTAGAGAGACATATGCCACAAGGACGCCAATGAAACGCCAGAGAGGAATCTGTTGGGGACCGAAATCTGGTGTGGTCCAACGTGGCCACTGAAAGTCATGAACACATATTATGCCAACACACAGACACACAAATACCAAGAGAGGTGAGACCAAGCTCACACCAGCAAAAACTAATTTACTTTATGATGTTCCCATATTACATTTGTGTTGTTGTTGTTGTGTGTAATGTCATCTCTATTGTTGATTATACAGTATTGAGTGTCTGAATAACAGAAACTCTCTCGTCTCTTACACAAAGAGGACCGTGCCAAAATATGCAAGAGAAACAGCCGGAGGGCTTTGAGGACCAGTGCTAAGCAGAGCTGTATCAGATCTCTCAATCTGCCACCAGTATCAGAAAGACACTATGCGAGGGAGGGGCGAGAGAGAGCAAAAGAGCTGTGTGAAGTCAGTGTGTTGATTATGCTCTGCTAAAGCATGCAGCAGGGGAAAAAAAACGAGTTAGCGCTTCGTTGTCTGTGATGTGATTGTTGTGCTGCGCTTCTGCGCACTAATAAAAACACAGTTACCAACCAGACATGAAAATGATCTGTAGATGTGTCACGCTTTGACATTCATCAAGGGCAATGGCTGTTTATGTTCCTGAATGTAAATTTAAATAATTAAGGTTATATCGGTGAACGCAATTCAGTGTTGAGCCTCACAACATTAACCACTGCAGTAATAATACAGATTTAAAAATAAATCAACAAGACGTGAACTCTTTGTGCAAATATTTACAAACAACTTTGGATACTGCAGTCCCACAGACATCAAACATGTTCCAGTAGCTCCCTCTGCAGTCCAAATAAGGAATGGATACCAGACAGTGTAGGGCAGGGGTTTCCAAACGGTCCTGTAGGGCTGGTGTCCTGTATAGTTTAGCTCCAACTTGCTTCAACACACCTGCCTGGAAGTTTCTAGTATACCTGAAAAGAGCTTGATTAGCTGGCTCAGGTGTGTTTAACTGGGGTTGGAACTAAAATATGTTAGACACCGGCCCTCAAGGACAGAGTTGGGACACCCCTGGTTTCGGGCATGCATGGGTCTCAAACTCAATTGCTGGAGGGCCGCAGCTCTGCATAGTTTCAAACATAGCGGATCAAACTAATCAAGGTGTTCGAGAATCTTTTAAACAACTTGATTAGTTGAATAAGCTTTGTTTGATTAGGGTTGGAGCAAAACTGTAAAACTGTGCAGAGCTGATGCCCTCCAGGAACTGAGTTTGAGACCCATGGTATAGAGAATATGAAAGCCAGAGGTGGAGAGTTTGAAATTGAATGTTTCCAATCAGTTTAATAAAAAGATTTATACAGTAGATATAAGACCACAGAACCCCACCTCTGCAACTTCCTTGTGTCCATCAATTTTCCATGCTTTTGAGGTCAGAGGATTGAGATTAACTGGCTTCCATTATACCCCCTTAAACCTAACTCAGATCCAGGTCATGGGACCAGTGTAACTGCTCTGATTCTACTAGCGCCGCAGAATTCAACCAACACTAGGAGTCAAGCACACTAATAAATATACTAAAGCCCACAGGCCTTACTGTGTCAGTCACTAGGGCTTATATTGAAGCCAGAGGAGCGAGGTTTACATGAACAGCCTTTACTGGCTGACCTCTGTTACACTCATCCCTTTAGCCTAACTCCCATCAGGGTCACAGCGCATAAATGTAACTACAAAGGGAACATGAATGTTGATAACCACAGTTCCTAAACTGTGCAAAACGACCGCTAGAAAGAAATTGAAAGAAATTCAAATCGACTAGCATGAATGTTACAGTGTCAAAGATAAAAAGGAAAACAACATATTATTCAAATAAGTACCTTTATTTATCAATTGCCATTCTCATTTATGTTACAGAGGTAAACATTTAGGGGGAGTCTTAGATAAAGCAGTGCTACACCTGCTAAGAGCTGTTACCTCCACACACACACACACACACACACACACACACTTGCGCACACTTACATTCCCATCCAGCACTGTCATCTCCACCTGATTCAAAGCAGATCACTCATTGTTTCCACACACAAAACATCTGCACCTGACCGTTTCGGTTGATACAGGTGACATGGCTCTTGAAATCTGCCCACTCAAATCAGCAGCAATGAAACTCAGACAGCAGAATGTCTACTGGAAACTCTAGACATCTCCGCCAGAAATTCTAGGAGTCAAATATGGCTACAACTTCTGCGACTCTAGATTGTCCTTGCCGAGCTGAGTGAAGAAGAGTTGGATCTGTCTTAGAGGCGGAGGCGTTAGGCTGGGGTATGAAGAGATGTCTTCTCCTGACATCCCTTCAGTATGGCTGTAGAGGAATCCATCTCTCTGATCATCAAACATTATGATGGCCTGTACACTCGTAATACATGCTTTGAGCTTGGTTACTCTCCAGATAGAAAAACAAAACAAAACTGTTGATTGAAAGCAATACTCACTCACTCACTCACTGAGATCAACACGTTATCAAATCAGAGAAATGCAAATGTTCAGTTAGAGATCATCCATAAATGCTGATACAGTGAAGCTGCCACATAAACATTAAGAGCCACATTCAATATCTGCCAGCAAAATGGTACATTAAGATGTGCTTGACTATTTAAAGATAAATATTGAAGGATTTCCTGGCACCAAAGGAACCAAAATGGCCATTCAAAATTATGAACGAATGACTTTTTCTACTGTATAATATTCTTGTAAAATCCACTTAATGCTGACCAGAAAAAAGAAAAGAATTACAGTACGCATATTTATATGAACCCTGAACTCTTTATGTGCACTTATATTTATATATATGTGATAATAAATATACAATAAAGGCCTGTCCGTCATGCCGAGCTCTGTGTGGTTCACAGAACTAACAGTGAGGTCACATTTACTGTTACTCAACAAAATTCCATAGGGGATTTCCTTTTTCTTTCGTTCAAGATGGTCACGTGTATTCGCCACAGTAAAAGATTCACTTATTAAAACAGGAACAAAAATATGTTGTTTAAATGAGAAGTTTAATTGATTACTATTTGTAAAATCACATATCGGTAATGACTTCCAGTTGTTGGTGAACTACACTCACCAGACACTTTTGGGTCCCACTTTATATTAAGTGGCCTTAATTAATATGTACTTACACAGGAATTAATAGTTTGCTACAATGTACTTATTGTGTAAATACATGTATTTATTGTGTATGTATGCTTGATTAAATACCTGTATGTAATTACATCTGTAATTAACTTCTGTAATTACATTTGTAAATATACTGTTGACCATACCTTACACCTTAACCCACCCCTAAACCTACCCATACCACCAAACCTGTCCAAAACCCAACCCCTATCCCAACTCAAGAGCACCACAAGTGTTCTCAAATACATTATGAACACAGTAAGTACATTGTATTTATTTTTTGATGCAAGTACATAGTAGTTAAGGACACTTAATATAAAGTGGGACCTACTTTTGTAATTTTACATAATTCAATTTGAAAAAGAGAACTCACTAGTGTATCTGCGTTGTAACTAAATACAGGATTTGTGTACTTGTCCACCACTTGAAATTTAAGCTGAGTAACATTAAATGGGACTGCACCTTAAGGCTCACTCACGGCTTATTTTTCTGAATAGCGAACGGTTTTAAAATAAGAAACTTGAAACTTGAAATCCTCATTCACCTGTCATTATGTAGGCTGTACTATTGTACCGGCCCACCCTCATATTGCGGGTATGCTTCCAGAATGTCAGTGTTATTTTCTGAAAAACCATTCATTGCGGTTTACACTGCTGGAAATAAGACCTTAGAGTCCTTTCGGATGTTACAATTGCTATTGAACATTCCACGATCACGGAATCATGATACAAAACGAAGAATTCTTACACATCTATGGTCCAAGATCGTGGATATAAAGTGGTTGGAATTGCATCACGATGAAACATCCGTCTAGAATACAGACAGTATAAATCTTCCATAGCAGGTTCCACGATCCAAAAAGGGTCTCGAACACTCCGGTGCGGGCAACATTCTGGCTATTTAAACTCCCTGCTTTTATGAACCTGCATAGAAACTCCATGGAGGCCTCACAGAGCCATCTTAAGAGAAAACCAAAAGTTGTTACTCCATACAGTACAGCATGTACAGTACATCTGCAGATGTAAGGGATAGACAGTTTCCTGTATTTGGCAGCCATATGAAGCTGAATAGTCCAATATACAAAAATAGGGTTTTAGAAAATTTCAAACAACAACATGAATAACAATACTACTACTAATAATAATATTAATAACAACAGCGGTCATAAATAAGGTCCACGCTCAAACAGCGCGTCATACAAAAGTCCAGCAGACTTACAAAGTGTCTGTCAGTACTGAAGAAAAGTTGCGTCAGTGCTGAGGTGAGTTTGGTTCAAGAAGCTAAGGGGGATTTTGTGTGTGTGTCTGTGTTTACGTGTTTGTGTTAAAGCCCTGGTCTGCTACTGCGTGCCGTTGAACCACCTCTGTTATGCGAGCGTGCTGGAAGTGAGAGAGAGAAAGAGAGAAAGTATGAACACTATATATTTAAAAGTCCCTTTTCTTGCAGAAATATGACACTATTAAATGTTCTGAATGATTTCCTGAAGCTTTTAACCACAATATAAGATATTATCACTGTATTTACATGAGATGCCAAAAGAGTTACTCTATCATGTACTGTATAATAACAAAAAAAACTTTATTTTAATATTTTAGTATATACAGGAATCAGAGAGGGAAATTCAATACCTTTAAAGACCTTTTTTAAGACCCTTTTCATACATTTTAAGACCTTATAACCACTTTTCAACTGGAAACACAAGAGAGGTTTTAACTTACAGTATATTTACTAAATATTAAATGTAAGAAACTTATCCAAAACCTTAAAATTTTTCATATACTGAATAGAAATCAGGGTGACGCAGTGGCGCAGTAGGTAGTGCTGTCACTTCACAGCAAGAAGGTCACTGGTTCGAGCCTCGGCTGGATCAGTTGGCGTTTCTGTGTGGAGTTTGCATGTTCTCCCTGCGTTCACGTGGGTTTCCTCCAGGTGCTCCGGTTTCCCCCACAGTCCAAAGACATGCGGTACAGGTGAACTGGGTAGGCTAAATTGTTCGTAGTGTATGAGTGTGAACCATAGACTGTAAAATATATGGACGTAGTATCCGTGACGTCACCCATAGGTTTCTAAAGAGCGCAAAAGAAGCCACAAGTAGGCGCGGCCAACCGTCGCCATTTTGTTCGCGCGTCATCACACCCACGGCGGGATACCAAACATGGGCAAAGAGGCGGAGAGTGGGCGGAGCTACAGACGCATGCTGCATTTTGCTTGGACCTGGTTCAGACACCTGGTTTACTTTGGGAGAACGCTTAATACTTTATCACCTGTGACTCGTTTGTATTCTGACCACTTGTGCTTGGTTGTACACTATATCAATAAAGTGTTTAGTCTTTTAAAAACACTGCTGTAATACATTGAGCCACTAAACATTGTTCTTATGTCGTTTCTCAACAGGAGGAAAACGCAAATTACATCCAAACACTTCAGATATAGTCTGTGTTAGTTAATGCAAGACTATTGATGAAATCCAGCATAACACTGTATGACAACGCTTTAGATGACTGATCTACAGCCTACAGCTAATCAATCTGACAGATTCTGGAGTGCATTACAGCTCTAAATATAAACGATAAATGATCTTAAATAAAACAAATACATGTATAGAGATGGTATATAAGTATATAATTTTACTCACATGTGAAACAGAGGCCACGTGAACAGTTTGTGAGCACAATTAAGTGCACTCAGCATGCCATGCCATCTAATAATTGTAGGAAACAAGTCCAAAAGGCAGTTGACTGTGTAAAGCCACATAAAACAACACAGAAATACGATAAATATGCCGAGTTCAGTGGCTAATCTGCCGGATTCAGCTGAGGTGACCAACGAGACCAAGCTGTAAATCAAGTGACCACGCCCTTAATTATGCAAACTTAATATAACTTAATATAAAAGAAACGGATGAGTTATAAAAAAATTCATCCCCCTTACAGTTGTCATGAAGGGTAATATTAGCTGTATTAACCAAAATCTTTTTTTGTACCAGGCTGTAAACACCTTTTTTTCTGCTGTAAAGTTGGCCATTCTAACAGTGGGCTCAATTGAAATTTGCTCTGTTTTGGAGCCAGGAGCGGCCAGGACTAGCGGAATTTCGGATGAATTGCGGTTTTAGTTACTTCCGTATTGGCTTCCTAAGAGAGAGCGGGAGGTTGCCGCTTGGTGTGAACGAGTGTGTATGGATGTTTCCCAGATATGGGTTGCAGCTGGAAGGGCAGTTGCCGGTTCATTCTGCGGTGGCGACCCCGGATTAATAAAGGGACTAAGCCGACAAGAAAATGAATGAATAAAAATCTATTAAATGTAGCTAATTCAGCAGGTTATCGTCTATAGAACTGCAGAAATAATGGTGTTGCATTGGTTACTGCAGTAAACAAAGCAGCATGTTGTCAAATCTTGTAGGATTTCACTGATTTCATAAACTACACAGCATCCTGATATTCGCAGATTTAATTCAGGCAAGCTT